TTTGTTACTGTTGTGGTTTTTTTTTCTCTAATAAACCCTGTTCATTAAGTTGTTATAAACGTGTCAAAATGAAGTGTATACACAGATGTTCTATTGTTTGACTGCAAGATGAGATTAATAAATTCGGGTTCAGATTAGTTACTTTTACTTGAGTTGATACAAGATTTTCATACCTAATTTTTGAAGAAGTACAGAAGCTGTTCAGCATGTATGCACTAGCATTCTTAAACATGCACATGATTACTGGAATTGTATATAGAGCTGATGTGGAGAAGCAGTTGTTCGAGTGGCTATAGCTGTGGGAACAATAAATGATTGTGCATATAAACAAGCTGCACAAATGTTCACGTGGATACCTGGGGTTTTTAACTGCTTACAGTGTTACTGGTCTAACAGTCAGGTGAGCCAGAGGACTCGAGCATTACCTTTCTGAAGTCCGACTCTAGGCACTCGAATCCAGGAGCATAAGGAATACTACCTTAGATATGCCATAACAATCTGTAATCTGGAGGTATATTTTATGTGTTTGTTTGTTGAACTGCTTGCATTTTTGCTTCTGTTTGTGTTCATACCTTTATAACACTGAGGAGTTAGGTGCCTGCCTTGTGCTGAAACCTGTATTTTCAGCTGGGTGATTCTGGTAAACTTGCTGAGAGCCAGCCAGATTATATGTATTGTACTTCTGTAAAAAACATCTTTTTCCGTATAAAAGAGATGCCATTCTGTTAAGCCTAGATGTTAAGCTGTGACCAGACTTGGTTTTTGAGGAACTGAGATGTCAAAGAATATATTTGACCTGCACAATGGAGAAGGTTGCAGAGGCCCCGCAGAGCAGTACTGTATGAGCTGTCTCTAGAACTGGAAGCATGACAGCCTTCCTCAAGCAATGGGGATGTGTGAAATTGTCTCCTATCCTGAAGTTAGTGATACTTCAGTGTTACCATCATGATCTGAGGAACTGAGGTATTAATCCCACAGTGTTTTGTGTCTTGAAGGTGGATCTTAGTAAGGGCATACTGTCGAAATTTGTTACTTAGCGTGCAGTGCTTACAAATGGCGGTGTAGCATAAAGCCTTAGTTGAACAGGAATGTTTCGTTTTTTTCAGTGAAAGGTTTTACTCCTTATTGTGAGTGGCTTGAAGGAAAACGTGTCTGTAAGTAGGAGAAGATTTGAATTCATGCGAGTTCAAAATCTGTTAGAAAACTTGCCTGCAACTTTCTCTGCTGTGGGAAAGTGTGTTGTAAAACAGCAGATTATTCTCATGCATCTCAGTGTAGACAATGTAGAGCTTCTGCATCAATTCTTTTGCATTTTTCATTGAACTAAATTGATTGATTTATACATGCTGTAGGTAATCTTCTTGTTACAGTTTTATGCCTTCGGAGCTTATCTGGGTGTGGTCTAGCACGAATTTCTCAGCTAGCATCTGACAATCTGGTTTGTGGAATTAGTTTTGCAAGAATGATGTTGTAGCAATCATGCACCCCTAGTGCTACGTAGCTGTGTGCTTCTCAACCACAGAGATATGTTGCTTGCCCTTTACAGGCAGGAAGGCTGAAGCACAGAGGTCTCTGAACAACTCAATGGCAGAATCTCAGTGTCAGTGCAGTAGCCACTGAATCTTACTCCATATAGTCTGTGTACAATTCTTAGCCAAAGATAGTACGATGCTTCTCACTGTTTTCATTCCATAGGACAGAATCCAAGTTGTCTGTCTCAAGGAATACTGACTAATAATGTTCAGTGAACACTGTGCTCAGTGAAATGAGAGTCATGCTACAAATCCCGTCTGTAAGGAAGATCGCTGTGGCTGTGGGAAATCCATCTGATGACGTGAAAAATATTCTTGCTTGCCTAAATCTGTTTCTCCAGCAGATTGCGTTGTTTTGCTGAAGCAGTTTCTTTTTTTTTTTTTGCAACTAGTTGTGTTTTTACTGGTGAATAAGCCAACCGCTTTGCCTTACATAAGTTTTTCAAAGTTTCGCTGACGTTTAAAAAAAAAGTTGAAAAATGAAAACATCTGAACATCTTTCCTATACCATATTCTAATGCAATGACCTAACTGAATTTACTATGCATCTTTTTTAAGAAGTGAAAACATGTAAAGAGGTAAATGCTGAAATTCTGACTCTAAGAATTAACTGAGGAGAAGGTAAGGTTCTCATGTACCTGAAATGTAATTGCAGTGTTTCCTCACTGTAATGGTGTATTGCTGCATCCGCCCTTCTCTTTGTAAAAGATGAGTCGCTTCAAGTTGTTCTAGGCAGCAATTACATCTGAGAGAGGCAAAAGTGGTAATTCATCTGAACCACATAGGTCAACCATAAAGCAGATTAACCTAATGGCTTTGTTGCTGCTGTGTTGGAAAGTAAGCTGTTGGTCTTTCTGGAAGAATTTTATCTGAAGTATTTTAGAATGAGATCTAGAATAGAAGCTCTGAAATCAATATTAAGACACTTACAAACCACAACTATTATAATTTGATTTGATATTTCTTTTAAACTGCCTCAGAAATGGAAAAGTATTTTGCAATTACGGAATAATATGACAAACAATTTGGCCTCCTCCCATAACTTTTACCAGAAATGGCCAATTTATCTGTAAATTGTGTAAGTCATACATTCTCTTTACATTAATGGGACATACAGACTTTTTCTTTGCATTTGCTATAAATATAAGAACAGTCTGTTCAGAGAAAAGAGAGGGCATGTTGATTTAGTTGATACTCCTAAGCACTTGATTCTTGTCTACCATTAATAAATTATGTTATTTAGTCTTTATTAACTTCTATAGGATGAGTTCAATTGCATTGTAGCATGTGATCTCTTTTTGTCAAATGAATTTTTTTGTAAAATGAAATTCATAATAGTCACATCGTAAGTAACTGGCCAAATATTTGGGGCAAAATACAGCAGACTTTCTTGTGTTGGACTTAGAATCATAGAATGGTGAATATAATGCACCAGTGATCATCTTTTTTTGGTTTGGTGTGGGGTTTTTTTTTGTTATTGTTGTTGGGTTTTGGGGTTGGTTTTGGTTTTTTTTTTTTCTCTGACTCTGCTTCAGTAGATGATACACTTGGTATATATCACAGTTCAGTTTTACTTTTTCCAAACAGCATTGTGGTGTGAATTTGGGTCAATTTATCATTCTTAGTCAATACTGATTGTACTGTGTCATGCAAAAATGAGTCTTTCTGAGCAGTTGAGGACCTTGCAGCTTAGTGTTGTTTTTCAGTTGCATGGTTAAAAATTGACGCTTCAGTCCGTTGTTATTCATGATCACATAGTAACCTATACCCAGTTCTCTTCTAGTCAATGTATGTGTACAGGCTGTCTATGTTAGTATTCCTTGATTTCTTTCTGTTCTGTTAGAAATGCTCTTTGCTCTGCGTGGTTTGATTTTCTTCAAGCACATATTCAACTTCTTTTTAACATCAAAAATATTTTTGTTAAAATAGTTGGAGTTTGTTTTAATGATACTGTTAATTACAGCTTCGTGATTAGTTCTGGTACTGCATGAAATATGATGGGGAAGTATATTCACTATATTTGTATTCTGAAATATTTTGGAAGGCAAATGACTTACAAAGCCACAGTAGGGAATAAAGTACAGAAGAAGGTTTTTTAGAGAGTAGGTATCAGTTCAAAGAATCTCTAGAACTCAGCTTTTTAAGGTTTTGTATTCTTTATTTGTTTACTTTTCTAGTGATACTAGAGTTGAGAATGTCTTGTTGCAGCAGCACAGTGAGACATCAATGTTCCCATTAGCAAAGATCATGTAAAATTGATATGAGCTAAGGTACACTAAGCTGGAACTGCTCTGACGGCAGTGGTGGAACTGTTCAAGAAGCTGTATGTTTGAGTGAAGAGGGTTTGGGGTTTTTTAATACGTATTTTATTATTCTGAAGATGTTAGTTCCTTTCTCCCTAATGATTTAATTCTGAAAGAGTTCAGTACTGTTTGCTGCTTGGTTTCTATTCGGGTTACACAGGGTAACTCCCTTCCTTTCTCTCCCATTGTGGTTAACGGTACATATTGCTTTGATACAGTTAGAAAGTTCTGTGCAGTTTTGCTACTGTTCTGTCATGTGGAAACGCATCTGGCCGTATCACTTAGTAAAATCTTCTTTTAAAATATTTTGCAGCACAAAAAACTACTCTTCCGCTGAAATGTTTTGCAATTAAATATATATGTATGTTCCTGTGTCTATCTCCTTGCTTTTTTGTTAAGTATGCACATCTGTGAATGACATTGCCTTCTTCAGGTCAAAGTAATGTGCTAAAGTTCCAATTTAACATAGAAAATGGAGCACAGATACATTTTTTGAGAAACAATGGGAAAAATACTGTAGTAGTTTTTAAAAATCAGTTTAATATTAGTGCTGTGAAATCTGAAGCATCAGAATTCTACAATAGCTGAGTTCTTCCTAATATCCTGTGTCCTCCCGTAGTCTAGAGTAAATGGTGTGTATTTCAGCAATGCCCACTCATTTATTAGTGGGGTGTACTCTTATTACTATTAGTACCCTTAAAAGAGAATATTTATGTACAACTTGATTATCCAAAAATGTGTTTAACAACTTTGTTCTATGTATTTTGTTACTCAACTTTAATTCTTCCATTCTTCACTATGGTTGAGAGATAATGCTCAAATTTTTTTTCTTTCTCTCTTTGATGTTTCAATTTTGTTTGTAATTTTCAAATTACCTAGATATTTGCCTTCTCTCTGCAGAGATATTCTATATGCATAGCCAAAACGTGAAATATTTGTCTTGCAAAAGACCTTCTGCATGTTTTAGTGTTTTATATGAAAGTTATTCTATATCAAGTTTGTTACCGCTTTTGATATCCTTGTAGATGGGTTTCTTTCTAGGCATGAAAAGCGGTCTGACAGATCTGTGCGGAAGTGACCTAATTTTATGCTATTAATGTTATGTTTAATTTTATTTTAACCTAGTATTGCGTTTTACATTACTCATATTTTTCTTCTAGGCAAACGGAGTGGGCGTAGTAAAAAATGGAGAGAGATGCTGAAGTTGCCACCTGTTAGTCATTGTGAAGGTATTAGATGCTCAATCGGTAGGTACCGTGTAGAATGGTCTGATTTTTTTGAGAAGGAAGGGTAAGAGTTTGGTGGTGTTAACTGAAAGGATTCTGTCTCGCTTCTGAATGCTAATTAGCAAAAAAAACTGTTAAACTTTTAATGTCATGGAGAATTTATGAGCAGATAAAGGCTGTATCACAGCTCCTTGTTTGTTAAAGGAAACTGCTCCAAAAGGATAAATTTACAAAGCCATGAATTAGAGAAAGGAATCATGTTGTAGTTTGAATGATGTGGTAATATATTTCACTTTTTTTCTTAATGTCTTGTCTTTTTTTCTTAATGTCTTGTAATGTTTTTTTAACCTTTTCTGTTACTATCTTGTATTCCTTCTTTCCAAACAGTCTTGTTTGCTTTGGGATTGCTGTTTCACAGTATTGTTGCTTTCCACCCCCTCAACCTAAATGAGGCTTAACCATATCACTCAATGTGTTTTTAATAAATGTGATAGTCTATGAGAGACAAATGTGCCTGGAAGTGAGTGTTTCACTGTTCTTTGGGATCATCGCGTGTTTTTGATGTCTTTGCTAAATATGTTAATGTAAAATCTTCATGTTTTAGTGGTTTTTTTTCTGACCTTTTCTCAAATGGAAGTAAGGACCGCGCTATGGCAAAGATAAAAATAAAGATATTTACTTATTATTTCTTTCTCAGAAAGAGACTATAACCAGCTTTGTGACAAACAGCCGATAGGAAGACTTCTCTTCAGACAGTTCTGTGATTCCAGACCAGATTTGAAAAGATGCATTGAATTTCTGGACGCAGTGGTAAGCAGTGAGAAATTGGAGATGCGTATCAGTAGGCAATAGCTTATGGATTTTTGTTTGTAAAGAGTTCTGATTTTTGTGCTGATTTTGGCTGGGATAGAATTAATTTTCTTCATTGTAGCTCATGCTGTGCTATGTTTTGGATTTTTGACCAAAACAGTGTTGATAACAAGGATGTTTTAGTTATTGGTGAACAGTGATTACACAATGTCAGGGCCTTCTATGTTTCTCACGCTGCCCCACCAGCGAGTACATTGGAGGTGCAGAAGAAGCTGGGAGGGAATACAGCCAGAACAGCTGACCTTAACTGACCAAAGGGATATCCCATACCTTATGATGTCATGATCATATCCCATACCTTATGATGTCATGATCAGCATGTAAAGCTAGAAGAAGGGGGAAAGTTACAAGTTATGGTGTTTGTCTTGCCAAGTAGCCGTTATGCATAATGATGAAGCCCTGCTTTCCTGGAAATGGCTGAATATCTGTCTGCAGATGGGAAGAGGCGAATTAATTTCTTATTTTACTTTACTTGTGCATGCAGCTTTGCTTTATCTATTAAACTGTCTTTACCTCAACCCACAAATTTCTCATTTCTGCCCTTCTGATTACCATTGGGGGGAAATGAGTGAGCGAGCAGCTGTGTGTGGCTTAGCTGCCCACCAGGGTTAGCCCACTACAATTTTAAAAAATATTAATTTTCTCTAAATACATCTGTTCACTAATGCTGCAGACATGAAACTATAGTGCGATTTAGTCTGCCAACTGTAAAGCTGTAACTTTTGATGAATGCCAAAAAACTCTGGCTGTTATTTAAAGGAAGATGTTTAATATTTACTGTAAAATCTCTGCCATCTTGGTATGATCAGAGCTACAAAAATAGGCGTGATGGGAATGAGAGAAATAATTTTAGAAAGACATGCTGCTTGACTTCTTGAGCCTAAAAGGATGTTCATACAATGAATATTACTTATGATACTCGGACTTGAAAGGGTTGTAAACATAGACTTGAAAATGTTGTAACTTGTGTGGAAGCCCTAGGCTAGACAGAATATGCTAATTAAAAAATACAATGGAGATGGAAATTTAGGGAACCATCTATGGAAGGAGAGAAACCAGATTTTAGAAACCAAGGGATAAGGAGGTGTTTTGTCTTGATACATTTGCATCTTGGTATCTAACGCTAAAGAATGAGAGGAGGAAGTGTGCCTGCAGCCATGTTTGGTAAAAAATCCTCAGACGAAACCCTCATGGGGAGGGTGAAAGTAATGAGAAGAGTAAGCAGGCACACGACAGCCCTTAAGAAGATAGAACAATAGCTCAGAGCTTTTTATTCTTTGTCCCACATTGTTAATCCAGACACAGTAAGATATAGTTTTAAACTGAGACTGCTGCCAAAATAACAGTTTTCCTCATCCCACCCGTTTTTGTTCTTATATTCGGGGAACAAATGACCAAAGAAAATGGTCAAATTATGCTTCTGCTTACATGCATCCCAAAATACGGTCTCAGAATGCAAGATGGCTCTGAAAGGTGCAGAGTGCAAGCAAGTACACAGGATTATTGCTGTGCCCCCCACTTCACTGTATCTTCCCTCCCCCTACGGGAGTATAAACTGAGACACTTCATCAGCTAAAAAGGAGCTTTAGCGTCAAAGAAGTAGAATTGCCTTATGTTTGTCAATGAATCTTTGTGCAATTAGGCTTACTCCCCCGGTGCATTTCACCATACTTTTGTGACTCTTACGAGCTGTTCTAGCACCAAATTCCAGAGACCAGTTTGGCAATTGGAGCACAGAACGTACTGAATGGAAATCCAGAACAGTGGAGCTAAATACTCCGCAGTGAACGTAAAGCGGAGCCTTTAATGAGCATTGCGTAGTGGGGAGGCCACTGACAACTGTGGATCTACCCTTAACGGTTACAACTTCTGTATGCATTTTTAATCCTTAAAAGCTGAGATAAGGAGTAGCAGAATCTTAGGCAGCACAAAGGAGAAAAAAAATCTTAGGCATGGCTGTAAGGCAAGTGGGTCTTTTCTCTACAAATATGATTTTTCAAGTGAAATTGTCTCTAAGAAGTAACTGAGTTTTACACTAACTGAAAATTGTTTTGAAATATGCAACCTATAATGTTATGTGGATTGCGACACTTCTGTGAATTAACGAAGACTGTCATAGTTGAGATAATCTGATGTAAGGGATGATTGCACAATTTACTTTTTTCTTTATTTTTTAAACTTCCATTTGAAAAATCATGGTGAAGAAGTATGTTTGGGAATCACTGAAACAGGTCTCCTAAGAGCTAACATAGTCTTTAATCAGTGACTCTCATGATCTGAAAGCTAGCATGCTGTCCTGATCAAGGCAGTGAGATAAAATACCTACTATCTCATACAGATGATTCCTGAGTTAGCCTGATTCCCTTTACTGGACTAGACTTCAGCAAGCTTGTTCAAGTTTTTTTGGGGATGGGGGGTGGAGTTGAGTGGTTTGGGGTTTTTTTGATGGTTTTGTTTGTGAGGCAGTAATGTGAGGGGAAAGGCTAAAATTGTGGGGTTTTTACCTTGGGTTTTGTCAATTTTTCTTTTTTTTTTCTTTCACTTAAATAAATTTTAGACTTAATCTGTCTGAAAATAAACTTTCTGGCATAAAATGCTATAGTCTTAAGAGCCTTGCATCTTAATTAAAAGAATTTTCTGACTCTCTTATATGAAACAATGTGATTTCAGCAGCATGATTATTTCAGGAGGCCAAAATGGCAAAATCAAGGTAGTACAATGCTATATTGTTTACCTGTACTGAGTACTAAGACTGGTAAGCTTTAGCTCTTGAGAAGGTGTGACCTTAAAGTCTGGAGTCACCGTGGCTTTACTGAAAGAAGAGCTGTGAAATAATTTAATAAAAGTGACAGAAATTGAAGTGAGGAATTACAGTTATCCAATCATCTAATGACTCATTTCACTAGCTGGTGACAAGGTTACTCAAGTATGAAAAAGAACGGATGACAGCTCAAACTTCCCTCTTAAGCTCTGTGAGTAACATAAATTAGTTGACAAGGCTGTCTCTTAAACTTCCTTTTAAATTACAGTATCTGCTTAAAACAGTATGCCTAACTGTTTGTATTAAATTAGTGACTACTTTGGCGTAATTGGAAATGTTAAAGGTGGTAGGTGCACTGCTATGGTTGATTAACTTTTCTGACCTGCCCAGGTGGTTTGGTAGTTGCAGAAGAATTCCTTACTATTAGACTGATTGTTGTGGAATTAAAGTAGCAAAAACAATGGCTTACTTTTTTTTTTTTTAATGGCTTTGAGTACTGTACTGAAGCGGTTGATACTGTACTGTTTCAGCAGAAAAAGATGTTGATGACTTAGTAGTGAGTCAGTGTTGCAACTGATTGCAGAACTGGAGTTCAGGGATTGTGATACTTCCAGTATTGTGTGTGTGTGTGTTTGGTTTCTGAACTAACCTTTTCCAGTGTTGTAGTTTTCTTTATAAAGGTACATAACTCTATTCTGATTAGATCAATCACTTGGAACTTCCTATGAGGTTCTTCATGATTGTTGTCTCACTATGCCAGACTGTTGTTTTGTATGATACAGTCCTACATTTTAGAGGTCTGCCATATATTCTATGTTCCTAGGTGCACACATTTACATTCTGAGGTATGAAATAAGCTTTGATTGAGTTGGCCCAGCTTACGAAGCTAATACAGGTTGCTGTTTGAGCTTTCTCTTTTCTAATTCATCTTTCCCCAGATTGTGTGTTATCTTATATCACGTGTTATGTTGTAACTTCTGATGTCTGCTTCTAGATTATTCCTTATAATTACTAATAGTAAGTAGTCCTTGGAGTTTTTCAATACCAGTATCTGTTTGATGGTTTGTTTGGGGTTTTTTCCCATAAGTAGCTACCTTTGGAGCTCTATTAAGCTGCCAGTTGTTTATCTGCAAAACGCACTGTAATGCACAATGTACTGTATAGATCACAGTACTATATATTACTAAGTCGAAAACTTCACAAAAAAACATACCTACTCACTTTCATTTTCTCAAAAAATGAAGTAGAGTTTGGTTTAGGTCTCACTTATTTCCAGTTAATGCGATCTTGTAGAAAATAATAGTTTTATCCTGGTTTTACCCAAGGCTGTAGTAAAGAAAAATACATAACGGAAAAAAAAAATACAGTGAAGAAAAAGCTTATTATTGTACTTTTATTTGATTATTTCCCTTCCCATTTGGATCATTCTCTCCTACAATACTATTTCATTGTAATTGATCTAATTTAACCTCTAGGATGCAGTTTCTGTTATTGCATTTAGACTAATTGTTAGGTTTTTGTATGTTTTCCAAAAGTTAAATTCTGTGTGCTTTTTTCCTGAAGACTGTTCTTCATGCATGTTTCACTATGTAGCCTAAAAATCTTTAAATAGATTTTAAACCATGAGAGCTTTCAGTTGCTTTCATATTAGGAGCATTGTGTTCTTCATGATAAAATTTACCTAGCATCATGTAAAAGACTCTAGTGCCAAGTAGCTCTGAACATAATTTAATTTTCAATTCCATTCCTCTAGGCAGATTATGAGGTATCTTCAGATGAAAAGCGTATAGACTGTGGCCTGAAAGTTTTAGAGACGTACTTCACTAATGGGGTAAATATATTATATTGCAGAATATTGTCTCAAGTGTTGTGTAAATGTCAGATAAGTAGAGATCTAAACAATTGTGTTGTGTTTAGTAAATTGACTTTCAAACTTCATTAGTCCCATTTTTGTCTTTCTGAAAGGTATACTGCCTTCTAAAATGGTGAAACTCTTACCAACTTGAGCAGAAACTGTGACTGGTCTCTGCTCTTAAGACTACTACCATTATGATTTCTTCTACGTTTTCTAATTAAACTGCCAGTCTCAAGTAAAGATATCTTTTTAACCAAACTCATTTAGCATCTAAAGAAAACTTATTAACAAATTAACTCAAGAGTTTTGTATTCTGAAGACAGGAGAATGAGGAGTTCTTGAAATTCTCAGGCTTCTTTCAGACTCCTCTGAGGCATTGGTTGGTTTGTGTAAATTTTCAGAACTGCTGCAAGTTTTCATAAAGTGAAATGCTTTTTTGTTTTGTTTTGTTCTAAAGAATTCTGTTTCACTTTATTTTGCATGGAGATCATTAATCGCTGATTTTCACATATGTTAGATCTCACGGATTGATTTTTAAGAGTCTGTTCTTTGATATCTGATAGAAGCTTTTCTGTTGATATATAATTAGATATTTGCTTTCTGTGAATAGATGCTCCTTCTGCTTCTCTTACTGTGGTCATCTTGAGGTGGCTTTACTCCAAATGAAGGTCTTGCAAATGCCTTAAAAGCAGATACACTCCAAGTTTGCCAGATCTCTTCTGATAATTTCTTTGAGACTACCAATAGTCACATGCATTTTTTTTCAAAAAAAACCCACAGATTTCTTTTGTCTGATTTGAAATAGTTTCCCAAATTGTGTGTCTGTTTCTTTCCTCTTCCTTCTATCCTGTCAAACCAAATAGATAACTTGCTTTTGTGGTGGTAGACTTACGGAAAAAAAAAAAGAAATTTGACTTCTTGCCAAGTTTGTTTCCCTGGATATTGATATAATAAATAAGTGTAATAGCTTTCAGTGACTTTTTTGTGATAGGGAGCAAATAAAAAAATTGCCTGAATATGACTGTCTTGGTTTTTTCTTTAACCGAACCATTTCTTTCCTTTTCCTGTATTAGCAGATTTCATTTCACTTTGAATACAGGACTCTTACTTGTTTTGTTGATTTACAAAATCACTTTCAGTGTTGCCTTTTTTCCTTTTCAATTATGTAAAGTCTGCAGCACACTTGCCAGAAATACCTCAGGAAACAGTAAATGAATGTAAAGCAAGACTGGAAAAGAACCCTTCTAAGGATCTTTTTATGGACTGTACTAGGTAAGTTAAAAATGCATCGTGCTAAGTTTGAGTATCATAAGAGAAATTTGTGTGTTTCTGAGGCAAATGAAGGATGAAGTTATTTGGTCTCTGAAATGAGTGTAGATTTCCTTCAGATATGATGTAGATGTTTGACTCTTGCGGAGCTTTTTCTTCAGGTGCTGTTTTTGCATAAAATCACACGATTTTCTGCTACCAACTATTCTTTAAGTTAGAATAGTATTTCTCTTTATTATATTCTTACCTTTTGAATGATGGAGGTACTTAGAAAATTAGGAAGTTACAAACTGGGCCTTGAAAGTTTTCTGAACAATGTTACACAATGTATGATTCTTGAAAACGGGTTGAACTGAGGCCAACCATTATATTCCATTAAGATGGCCGATTTGAGGATCAATTGTGATAGTTAACACAAACAAATACAACTTGGTTTTGTTCTGAAGTCATGAGTGATATTTCACACAGCAGCAACAGGGAAGGCTTTTCTTGGAGGGACAGTACATGTTTACCAGTGTTGCATGTCTTTCTAAAGCCTTTATGTTTCTAATATTACTGGTTCTTCAAGGCATGCTTGATCATGTCTGAAGGATTGCAACACATTTTGTCACTGCTTGGGTCATCTCCCTGGCAACAAAAGTAAGCATACTTTATAACAACCTAAGATTATAAGATTGAAAGGGATGTGTGAGAACACCTAATAAAACATGTCTCAAATGGAGTATCTGGCATGTTGGCCATCCCCTTTCCTCTGTCCAATAAGTATCTAAATACGGTTTAAATTACTTGTTTTCCTTCCCCCGCACCTTGGTGTATTTAATTTAAAGGGAGCAATAAGGTACCTGGTGTTCAGGTTTGGATATGGCATTTAGGGTTTCAATTTCAAATCCTAGAATAAAATTTTACTTACCAGTCTCCAAAGAATGTCTGAAAACTTGTAGATACCTTCCTGTAAATATCTTTCATAGGTCATATTTGTGGAGTCATGCATACATTGCATAGCTACTGACAAGCTGATGTTTAGGTGAGCTTGAAGACACTTAAAGAGAATGCAGAGGTCAAACTTTCTAGTTACTGTAAGTAAGTAGTTTTGCATTCACTATTGTTGTGACAGGACCAGTTCTCTGTGACAGGCACTCGCTTTGCAAGATATCTAGGTTAAAACCATTGTAGAGCACAGTGGCAATGTTTTTCTGCCTACAGCTTCATTGATACGTTTAAGTATATTTTAATAGATTGATAGCACCTCCTGCTTCAGTTTTTTCAGTGTAATAAGATTTTATTTTCCTATTGCTAGAATTGTCCATGAATACCTAAGCAGAAGACCTTTTGAAGCATACCAAGACAGTGTGTATTTTTCCCGTTTTTTACAGTGGAAATGGCTGGAAAAGTAAGTTTATTTATAATGCTTGCATTATAATTTTGCTTTGCTTTGTGGCCAATTCTGCGTGTTATGCTAGAAGTGCTATAGAGCCCTAATGAATGACACTGCTAAGATATTATGGTCTGAAAGACAAGATCTAAGGGGTGATGTTGATGGGGCAGCGAGCGAGCCAATGCTCCAACAGAAGTGTCTGCCCAGGAGTCTTTAAGTGGTAAATTTGTATTAGGTTAATGCAAATTTATTATCATATGGATATGTTTGGCTGTCAAGTGTGCAGTGGGAAACCAATCTTTCTTGTAAATGTTATCATCCTTTAGTTTCAAACTTGGTCTAATTAGTGTTTAATAGTAGATTAATCTAGTTTTAAAACCCACTGGGTGACTGGGTAACTAATCAGGTTTTCAGGGTGGTACAGACACAGCTCTAGTAATTACAAGACAAGAAGATTTGTATATATCAGAATCTAATTTGGGCTTTTAAATCAATGCTACATGATTGTCCGAACTTTTTCATAAGACTGAAATTGGTACAAATTGATTCTAATTCAGCACTTCTGGATGTCGTGATGACATACTCAAACATTAAGGTACTTGAGCACTAATTTTATGGTAAATTCCAATTATCCAGTGTCTGTCTGTCACTGAATTAGTAGCAAAAGCCAGGAAGAGAACTGGGGAAGTTACTCAAACAATTAAGCCAAATTCTCTACCAAATGAACCTCCTAAGAACAAAGTTGTTCTTAAGAACAAAAAAACACCAGCTCACCACCATGAAATAGCCCTGCTCTGATAGGCGTTTAGGAACGTTTTAGCATAGAATGGCTGACACCTTTACTGCCTCCAGTTATCTGTTCCTCTTCCACTACATCAGTACCGTAACAATGGGGCTCTTGAACTGCTGTTGCCTACCACAATTCTGTCTTTTTTGAAAAAGCCAAACAGCAAAGCAAAATGAGAAATGGTTTACCTTTTAAATGCTGTATCGTAAGCATGGTCTTATTGAAACACAGCCTGCATATCAGCTTACCGCAGCTAAGGGAGACAACTGGAGGTGATAAATTGACTGTTGATGAGAACAGATAAGGCTCCAAGCATAAACAGCACAGGGCCTAGTTGATCAGCTTTTCTTACTGCTATTGTGAATGTCCAATGACCACATGAGGGAGCCAATGTTTCTAATCAGAGCACCCCTTTCGTTTGAAATTTGGCTCATTATGACACTGGCTTCATGAGGTCTAGGCAGCTGTTGTTCAGTAAGATGTCATAGAACAGGACGGAGAAAATGAAGACAGACCTCGGGGTAGGGAGTGGATTACTAACTCTTGTAATTCCTGTTGCAGTAATTGTTTCTTTCTGTTAATCAGGCAACCAGTAACCAAACACACATTTAGGCATTACCGAGTACTAGGCAAAGGCGGATTTGGAGAGGTGAGTACAGAGGTATCCTTCTGCGAGGCAATCCTTAAGGAAAAAAAAAAAATTAATACAGGGGTTAACTCTTGACCCTAACAATCTACATTTGACACATCACTTGGCAAACTGTTGTCAATCCAAACTGTTTTCATTTAATGTGTTAGTTTCAGTGTTGTAGGTCATGCCCAAAGTTGGAGAAAGCTTCCACTGACTGACAACAGTTGCTTCTGTTTATGAATTTCATGTGACGATGAGAATATAGTTTCTACTTAATAATTATGTAGAATATTAATGTATCTGATAGGAAAATATTTGAATTTTATTAATTCTGTTTATAATTAATTGGGGTTTTCCCCTGCCTCCACTTCTTATAACTAGAGCTCTATATTGAAAGGGTTACTAAATTATCATTATCTTTCTCCCGTTTGATTATAGCATGGATGTTTGTCCTCTGTCTTGCTTGCCTAGACATATACTGTTAGCAAAGTTAGGTGTTTAACCAACACAAGATCTACAGTTTTACTGAACTATGCAAACCCCAACAAAAATGGATTTGCTCCTGCTTAATCACTTTTTCTACCTCTGTTACAGCTTTTGTAACCCTTCAAAGTTGTTTCATGGGTGAAAGCTCTGAATCGATGCTTACAGACCTCCATTTTCTGTGAGCATCCAAGAGTTTGAAAAAAGTTTTCTTTAAAAAAAACTCTAAAAAAACCTAGCATTTCTGACACACCTTCCTTCCTTTTTAGGTATGTGCGTGTCAAGTACGAGCAACAGGAAAAATGTATGCTTGTAAAAAGCTAGAAAAAAAGAGGATAAAGAAGAGGAAAGGAGAATCAATGGCTCTAAATGAAAAAAGAATTCTAGAAAAAGTGAATAGTAGGTTTGTAGTAAGTATCTACTTCAGATCTTATTCTCAGAAGTTTGTCTTGCTTTGCTTCATTTCAGTCTCTTCCAGGAGCTTGTGGGCACAAGACATTTTTAAATTGATTTAGAGAATGCATGACTGCTGAGATAAGTGATTAATACAATAATTATGTTTTATTTGTGGTTGTGAGTAGTTCTATGCAGAGGGCTTTTTTATCCGATATTGAATTGGTTTTAGTCTGCTTGCTTTATTTCTCACAACCAAAACATTAGGTTGGGTTTCAGCGTGCTGATGCCACTGAATCTTTGTCCTCTGTTTGAAGGTGAATATATTATTCTGTAGTACTCAGACTTGAATAATCACTTAAATTCTATTTCTGCCACAGCTTATGACTGAGTATGTTTGGATATGTTTAATAAAGAAGATATTAGTGTACTTTATTCCATCCTGTTTTTTCCTAATCTACTTCTCTCTCTTCTTCTAATGTATTGTAGGGCTTGTGTATACATGCAAATTAGTCTTAATTCTGTTGTGTCTTCAAGTACTGGAGAAGTGCGATTATCTACTTGGCTGTTTTGTTCTTTTTTGTTTTAAAAAGGATTTATATGTTGCTTGTATTGGGGAAAAAAAGAGCTGTGAATTGTATTGGAGTTTATGAATGAATAATGGTCATCTTCTCCTCCTGCCCCATTTTCAGGTTAGTTTATCCTATACATATGAGACGAAAGATGCCCTGTGTTTAGTATTAACCATAATGAATGGAGGAGATTTGAAGTTTCACATATATAACATGGGAAATCCTGGCTTTGATGAAGAAAGGGCTATTTTCTATGCTGCAGAACTGTGCTGTGGTCTGGAGGATTTGCAGAAGGAGAGAATTGTTTACAGGTGAGTGTCATCTATAGTCACTTGTACCTTGAATTTTCCATGTCTGTTCAGCATTGAATGTATTAATTGTTTTCTACTAAAACAAGTTTATACTTCAACTTCATAGTGAAAGAAGCAAAAAAATTGTTTAGTTGTCCTTTTCATGGCATGTCCTTCAGAATTACTGATCTTATTTTTCTTCTTACTGTTAATTTAGGTCTAGATGCTTGCTATGTTCTAAAACATTATGAAGTTGATTAAAGGTTTGTTTGTAAAATAATAGTAAATTGTGATTTACAACGCAAATTCATTAGTAATTCAAATAAATAAAGAAGTTTTAGAAACATGGGATTTTATTCCTTCCCACTCTAAAGTACAAGTTCACAGAAGGCGATAGAAGTCTCTTGCTGCATTGCTCATTATGCTTAAGAGGGTAAAAAGTCAGTTGTAATCCATATTGCCCTTTCTTCTGTTTTTATTTGGGGTTCCTCCAATAAACACTTTATTGCTTTTGAATTAATGAAACTGTCAGAAGCCTCATGCAGTGTAATTGAGATTGCATGATCTTGCTTCTCTTTTCTGTCTCTGTACATGCATCATTTAACCCCTGGCATGCATTAATATTACAGAACAAGCAAAACGGACTTAGTGGTGGACCAAGAATGCTTTCTTTATCTTTCTGGTGTGTAACACCAAGTACCACTTGTTTTCAAAGAAGATTTAAAGTATAATCCTGCATAACTTCATGACTTAGTCTTTTCCCTCCCCAATACAGAAGACTAACATGCACACAGCAGAAAGTGGCAGAACCACAGAGTAGATCGGGCTTATGCTGTTGTTACATGTGGTTCTCTAAAGAATTCCGCCGATCTTGCAATGTAACACAGCGTGTTTTGGCATGTGTGTAGGAGGGAAGAAAGGATGAATTGTTTTGCTCATCATTCTCCTCATATGGATGAGCTATGAGTAGGTCATTTCACATTGCTCAAGTGAAGATAAAACTGATTGTTTATGATACAAAACAACGACCAACAAAAACCCAAGCAAAGAAAAACAACAAGAAAAGCCACAGCCCTCGTGCTTAAGCCTAACTTGCTAGCCCTTTGCCTACAGGAAGACCTACAAACACATATGTCAAATCCTAGCGTTCTCTGTTTGTAGTTCCAGATCTTGGGGTGGTCATGGTTTCTTCTGCAGCAGTCTTGGTATCTAGATCTCTGTCCTGTTTTGCGCAATTACATAATCAGTTTCCAATTATTATGAATTTTCATGGCCTTAAACATGTAATTAGTTTAACAATTAAGGAAATAGTTTAACAACCAACTCGGAATGAAATTGCCTTTTATTAAAAGAATTGGAATTGGTTTTAGCCCTCTGTTCATAACAGAATGAAAGACCAAGAAATAGTTACCTGTACATGTGTTGGTAGCTGAGTGATTTGTATGCTCGGAGGAAAAAGGAGGGCTTAAATTTAATCATAATACCTGAAGGCGTTATTTAAACAACTCAATGGAGGACCTATTGAGGGACTTCCTGCCCAGTTTGTAAACAGATGAAAAAACACTCTAATTATACTATATCAGCTCAACTACACTTGAATAATAAAACTAGAAAATGTTTGGATAATTTTATGCTCCCTATAGAATCACTTTCAGCCCTGTTCTTTTTAATATTGAATGACCAACTTTTTGTAAACAAAGACTTGTTTCTTCTGTTTACTGATCATAGTTTTTTCGTGATGGTCTTGATTTGTTTTTTC